CAAATATATTTTGAATAAAGGCAAGTGGTAGTAATAAATAATTTGGTATAAGATATCAAGATAATTAATCAAAAAAAATTTATATCCCATATTATGCTCACATAATTGCTAATACTCTAGTCTTATTGAGTGAGTCAGACTCAATGATTCTGATTGCATTCAAGACAAACAAGACGTATATTTCCTTCAATGTGCCTAATTTATTATCAATTCGATCCACCGTCCATTGATCGGGATTTTCAGCTTCATCGCATTCCCACAACATTCATTGAGGCATAATTCACATTTATTTTTTTGCAAATCTTTTAATACAAGGATATAATCAACAGATAAGTTAAATTTACGACCTTTTTTCTTATCTTGATCCATATATCCTATGAGTTTTTCAGAAATAAATGGTCTCAATGAACGTTCGATAGCTTTCTTATTTTTTGCATCTTCAATCTCAGAAGGTAATGAGGGACCTTCAATCCGAATAAGTTGGCTCAAATATTCTACACGACCAACTGCGAGATAAATTAGATTATCACAGGCTAAATTTTCATCAATAATCCAAATGCGTTACGAAGCTTTGAGTATCATTCCCTGACTGGTATGAATGGTCATTGCATATCCAAGTTCCCAATCTATAGCCTTTTCTTTTCCTAACATGCCTTATTTAAGGGTAAGTGTATTATATCATTTTTCACTAGCTTCCTTTTTTTAGATGAGCCAGGGATCAGAACAAGGCAATTTTGTTTGCGCCCATCTTTTGGTCTATAAATTAATGATTGGAATTTCGGGATATTTTGTACAATGAAGCTTGAGACATATTTGTGATACAAGTCTTTGAGAAAGTCGATATGCTGATAGAATTCAATCTGAAGGAGACCATTTTTTTTCTAGATATTTCCATTTTTCTATAACTGGAATTGCTCTACGAAATAATTCTGATTGTACTCGATTATTTTTATGACGCATTCCCTTTTTGAGTTCATATAATTTAGAACATTTGGCCCGATAGTCAGTCAAGACTTCCTAGTAGTAATCAGCTCGTTTTTTTAACCAGCTATAGGGCATTTCTTCAAAGAATGGTAGAGGCTGGGCATCATCACCGCAACAAATTACCTGATATTTTTGCTCTAGTAAGTAATCGATAAACTTTTCTAAAATATGTTTAGGCACTGTACATACTTCATCCCATATAACAACTCGCAGGAATTTTTTTTCTCCCATACGTTCAGGAGTCCACTCTCTTACACCATTTCACCTAAAGAAACTATGCCAAGTTTGGGCTTTTACCTTACGGTTATTTTGGAAGTCTTTGGCTAATGCATTTGTATGAGTAAAAACAACTATGTTTATGTCTTTAAAAATTTTGATAGCTTGTGTTGTTTTACCAGATCCACCTCCTCTATTGAGATATGAATTTCGATATCGCGTAATAGAATCATGAATTGATAGAGCTGTACTATCTGGAATATCTTTAATCGATTCCCAATGCCTATTCTTTGGCCAGTATACAATATCAGCAACTGGTCTATATATTTTTTTACCCTTATCACGCCATTGACCAGATTGAATTTCTCGAATCTTTTGTTTTTCTGATTGATTTAACTGCTTCTGACAAGAATCCGATTTATAAAACCATTCCCCAAAGCAAAATCTGCAAATAAATAGTTTATGTCTTTTACAGTCATATTTTACTAAAGACGTTTTGGTTTTTTGAAACTTTTTAATCCATTTTGCATATTCAGATTTTGAAATAAAGAATTCTTCTGGATCAGTACACATTGTACAAGAAGGATAGT